AGTGCAATTATGGCATGGGTATTTTGCATGCTTTGCCCTTGAGTAGGCAAAATTTAGCCATGTTATGGACACTTAGGTTTTCAGTGGCCTTAATAGAGTTTATATAACAGCCTTCTTGTTATGTCGTCACCTGCACCCAAAATAGCACTTAACTAACAGCCTGGTGAAAAGGCTGTCCAGAAGCCTCATGTTAAGAGGATGAATGGAGCAATTTCTTAAAAGAAAATCCCTGAAGCAAATCTGGAAAACATTCAGGCAGTAACAAACATGGGAGGGAATCTTTGGTGCTCTCTGAATGCTTCAGTATGGTTCTCCATACAATACTTCAGGGGTAATTTCATACTGACCCATGATGACAGAAAGACTTTTGCATTAACATAGTACTGACATTTTCTGCATCAGAATAGCTCCAACATCACGAGAAAAAATGCTGATATGTCAGTATGCCAGCTTCACCCATTATGGGAAGTACATCACATTGTGACAGTTTAGGAATTAGTATTGTTAAAGAAATGATTTAAGCAAGATTTCACACTATAAATTCTTTCTGTCAGGAAATAGATGAACTCTTCTTACTACTTCAGCACCAAATTACCCAGATTTTCACCTACAGAGCCTAATAAAAAGTACTTAATAAAATATAGAAAGAAATTGGACTACTACTAGAAAGGCTACATTAGTAAGGGTTTCCAATCATCTTTAGATAAAAAGATTAATATTTTCATTCAAGACATCCTTCTGAAAACAAGGTCAGTCATTCATAAAAGGAACTATCAGCTTTGCAGTTACCAAAATTACTTAAATAATTTTTACACTAAAAATTTGTATGTAAGTGAATTTAGCAGCAGAAGACTTTTTCAGCCCTTTTTCACATTAAAAATAAAATAGGTAGTCATAAAAATAAAAAAAAAATAAACTCAGCACACATTCTTAAAAAAACTCCAAACTTCTGTATAATGCAGTGTTTAGATTCTCTTTTGTCTTAAACTTAATTTTTCCCTATTAAAAGAAAATTGTGTACAGGATGGAAAAGCCATTTGAAAAGTTTTTTTATCAAAAGCAGACAACATAATAAGATACATATCTAAAGTAATTACTTTCTGATTTTAAAGTTCTGGTTTGGTTTATTTAGATTTTGTTAGCACTGACTTTTATCTTAAAAATTCTTGAATGTCATTGTTATTTGTATTGGGCTTGAGATGCATCTCTGGAGGTCACGATCCTATTAGAAAATAATGCAATGACTGCTGTATTTCTGCTTAACCAAAAGACACTCGTTCTAAAATCTTGAAACACAAGCCATTATAGGAAAATTCAGGCTTTACCTTCAGTAAAACCTGCAGTGAACTGTGTACAAATAGACCTGGTGTCATCCATTTGGTCTTCAGCTTCTTGTTCTGAAATCCTAAAAGTTCACTCAGCAGTTTACCATTTTGTAAGAGTAGGATTTCAGATAATATTTCAATGCCTTTCTTCTTGCAGTTTACATGTGCTCCTGTGCTGAACTCCTGGGAGACTTGTGACATGCAACTACATCCACTGCTGTTTCAGAACATTTTACTGTGCATGTACAGTATAGATTACACACTTGTCTACAGGCCTGTTTTAAATGTTGATTCACCATTTTTGTCTTTTTATTATTTTTTTTTAATATGTCTTTGCAATCATTTGGGTATTGGCTTATGCTTAATACTGACAGTAGAAAAACAAACCAGCAAAACAACACAAACCCCCAGGTTTTGTACTTGGCCAGCCTTTACTAGCAATTTTGTTTTTTACAAACTCTAACTTGCAATTTTGCTGGCATACAAAGTAGAAACAGTCAGAGTCCAAGAATGTGAACAGCAATGCATGATTCATCCTCTTCTTGGGCTGCAAATTTGGAAGTGTGAGATATTTACACAATGGATCAATGTCAAGGTACGCCCATTTTCCCATAATTGCAGTCATTCTGTGAACGCCCTTTTGTAAAATCACTTCTGGAAGATCATCCATCTATTTCTGTCAGCTAAAAACTGTGGGGTCCCCAGGTCCCAAGCCAGCTGTGGCTGCTTCTGACTGGTCTGCAACATTTTCCTGAGATATTTTCACTGAAGCCTATGCATAGTGTATGGACATGACCCTCAGAGTTTTATTTAAGAGTCTACTGAACTCATCAACCAGGTCTAACAGGAGAAAAAAAAATCATGAAGTGGCCTTTCACCTGCAAAGGAGACCAAAAATTCCAGATGCATTCCAGAACTGAGCATACAGATGCATTCTTCAGGTACTTTAAAGTGTATTCCTGGAGTTTTGCTTTTTAGAAACGAAAAATAGGACCAATTCTTTCAATGTCAGTGGGCTGACAAGAATCAAGAAGTAAACTGCTAGCACTTTTTTCTGGATTTAAGAGTTTGGACTCCTGACTAGAATACAGATTCTGTAGGTGTGCACCAAAAAATAAAGGAAAAAAAAAAGAAAAAAAGGCGCATTAATCACAGCTTTATAGCATAAATGCTTTGAGTTTCAGGTTTGGCAAGAGTTCTGTTACTTTTTTTGTCTCAGTACCCTAAACCAGTACACATTCATCCATCACATTTTTAACCATGCCATGCCATTTTTAACAGCAAAATAAGAAAGTGACAAAATGACAGCATCCCCCGGATTCAGCACCGGCAAGACTAAGTATTTTATTTTCTTAGAGGCACAAAAATTTATTGCCTGAAATCTGTTCCTTAGTATTAATTCTAATTAATAAATGAATAATTAATTGTAAGCGGTTTTAGGCTATGAATGGAGAAAATTCTCTTCTGTGTGAACTGCCAATGAACCCACACTGATGACTGTTTTGGATTTGCTTTGAACTACTTTTAAACCAGAGCAATTAGTGAGACTGATTACTTTCCATTTGAATTGGCAACAGGTCTTCAATTAACACCTATGTATTTTCCTTGAACTTGTGTATTTATCATCACTTTGTAGAATTTTGTACTGCCATGAATTATTTTGTGTCAGATAAAGCGTTATGGCAAGATGTGGTAATAAAATTTTCGGAGATATATTTGGGGCATAATTAGTATTTTGCCTGAAACATAACAGAAAAGGAAGGAAAATCTGAACACTCAGAGAACTTTCTGAGAGCTCTTAATTCCTTAGAGTCCTGTGTAGCCACCAGAATTACTAATAAGTCTAAAAAAATATTTTAGCAAAAAGTCAATGTCTGCAGTTTAAGTCCCAGTTTTGAGATTTTGAGGTAGTCTTTCCCTCCTGTCAGCTAAGTATGTTCAGTCCTTTAACACAGAATTTTTGTATTGCTACCACCAGGGTTTTTTTTAGGAGAGAATTTTCATCTGATTTCAAAATTAGAGTAAACTTCCTAAAAATTGATTCAGAGGATACTACATCTTTATAGCACTATATACACTCTTTGCTTATATTGGTTGAAAAAGCAGTCATTGTGCTTCTCTGCTCCTTTCTCCCCACGGTGTCAGGGGACAGTACAACACAAGGATAGAAAGGACAAATTAGTCAGAATTTCTAATTGTCTCTATACTGTTATAGTCAAAGTTCAAAGGTCAAAGTATGTTTCACACTTCTTATACCAATTCCTCTGCTATTAAATTTTGAGATGTTTCCTGTCACCCCTTTGACTCTTTCATTTTCAATTAACTTTATATCAAAAAAACATTTTGACTTCATGGGGATGAAAGTATGAGACAACCAGATTGACATACTTGAAATTACCGTCTTCCTGTTGCTGCTGAAGATGAGTAGTTGCACAGGAAATTTCAGTCTAAAAGCTTGAAATTCGTTATACCAGTGGAGTAGTTTGTATCTTGGACCAGTAGTGGGGACTTTATATTCAGCTTTTTTTTTTTTTTTTTTTTTTATACTTTCTTTTTTTTTT